GGGGATGGAGATCCCTTTAAATTTATTTGTTTTTAACGATGTAGTTTCTTCATTTTCCATGCATGCTTACTGTGACATACATACATACATTTAAAGCAACAGTTCAGGAACGGTTTCGCGGGAAAAAACCACCAATAATGAAGTTGTAGATGAAAACCAGACGATTAATGTATGAAAAACTGGAAAAAAACGTCGGGGAGGGTCTTAGACAGGTACTCTCCCTCTGCCGCTCAGCAATGGATAAAGACGCACGTTGGACGAGTTGTCTGAACGTGCCCGCTGTAAACGCGCTCCATTTTTCAATCAATTTTCCCTGTGGTCCCAAAACGAGCACGATTGCCGACGCGTCCAATGACGGCCGGCAAGGGGGCGGGATTGGGGAAATCCCCAAGAACACCCATGTTTGAGGGACTTTCCACCCTGTTTTTGAGTTTCTGAGGTAAGTTCGTTTATCATTAATACTGCACTGCGAGTACGTGTTCTGTATTGAATCAGCTATGGCGCTCTCAGGTGTATCCCGCAGTAGTAGTGACACTTGAAATGTTTGCGGACCTCTCCGCTGTGCTGAGTTGTCTGTTAAACCTAGGCCTATCAGGACAATCCCGCAGTTGGGTAAGACAGAGAAAATTTAAAAGGATTTTTCGTCCCCCCGCAAGCTCCTGGGGAAGATTTGAGTCAGCAGCTCATGAAGAATGCCTAACGACCGACTGTTGCGTGACTGTAACTTGCTTACATTGTTCATTGTCCTCCAGTCAGATCATCTGAGAAATTCTAATGATCTCGAATTGGCAGCACCATAGCAAGTCTCGCTCACGCCTCGAAACGATTAAACAACGCTTGACCATACTGAAACCAAAGTGGAATCAGCGAGCAGTCGTCACTAATCAGCTGCAAGTGCGGCGCGCCATTGGAGGAAGTCACCTTGGACGTTGATGGGCACTTTTTTGTTCCGCTGTGAGCGCGCGTTGGATCGCGAAAAATCGCGCGGAACATCGCTGAAATCAGCAAACCGACCTGCGAACCAAGGCCGATCGCGAAAAGACCTACTGACACCAGGAGCCTTTAATGTAAAAAGATAGTTCTTCAAGCTATTCAAGATTGAACACTTTATTAGGCTTACGTTTCGGCTTCTTCGCCTTCGTTGGAGTTTGAAATGGTCGAAAGAAATTTGGCTTGTCCGCTCAAACGCCTCAACGAAGAACTTAAGACACTTTTCACTTAGAGTTTAGCAAACTTTAAAAGTATTTGATACATCTGGCGAACGGACATGGCACTGCTACCTTAAAATCTGCCGCTTAGGCAATAGGGACCACCCTCGTAATATTTTTAGTATATGGTAAGTAGTAGTACCTCCCACCGACCTCCTAGTGGATCAAAGGTAACAAAGGTCGAGGAAAGCGCGAGTTCGCGAAATGGCGCACAGAACGCTCATTATTCTGTTCGTTTGGAGTGGCTTTTCCTCAAGCGCTAAATGCCAAACTGCTGTCAGCGTTCCAACACCAATATGGACACTGCAACACCGAACGATGAACCTCTGTGGTACGAAACCCGGTAAGCGCCCAACGGGGTATGTGTTTGTGACCTAGCCCATCCTGATGTTCCTTAACCCGCACGATAGGGGGGGGGGCGGCCTGTTTCTCCTCAAATTCTCGGCTCATACACAGTAGATAGTACGAATAGATCACCCTTACCTTCATGCAGTCATCTCTTCTGCCATAAGAGCATACCACACCTCGACGTGAGGAATCCTCAAGCACCGTTCACCTTGCCACACAGTTAGGAGTATGGCATACGGTGGCATAGAGCCGTTTGCGAACAAAGTGCTTCTGAAGGGTATGTGGGGGTATTTCGCAATTCTTATGACTTGAAGATCGCACCGATGCATTGATCGGAATGCTCTGTTCGTATGTTCTCAAATGAAATCGTACCAGGATAAAGAATCACTTAGTAGGTAGGTTTCTTTCCTTAATCTGTCCGAGAATTTGAAATCCGTCCTGTCCGTCGCGTAAGATCCACGAGCACACGGCTATCCGCATTCAAACTAAGGCCTATGCTCAGCGATTCCCATCTCCATGCCCGGTATCAGATAGAGAACCCTCAAAGGGATGAACAGGGAAGGTGGATTGTGTGGCCATAATCTGCGAACTCGTAACTTTCCTCGAACTTTGTGACCTTTGATCTTCTGGGAGGTCGGTGGGAGGTACTAATATTTACTACATACTAGACTTAGTACGAGGGTGGTCCCTCCTGTTCAAGGCGACCAGCAGTGTTAATGTAGCGTGATCTCTCCATCGATGAATACCGTCAAAGTTTGCTAATCTAGTGAAAACGTCTTGATTCTTTGTTGAGGCGTTTGGGCGGACAAGTTGCATTTCCTTTTGACCATTTCAGGCTCTGACGGGCGAAGAAGCCGAAACGTAAGCCTGTTTAAGTGCTCAGTCTTGAAAGGCTTGGAGAACTATCGCATTGATTTGGAGATTAGTAGAATAGGAGACTAGGAGAGCGCTATTCTACTGCAAGGACTAGATGCGTTCCGATTGAAATTGCTAGAGAGTAGCAGATCACGACATTATTACAGGATGGGAAAGTAGAATTAAGATCTGACCCGCTGAAAAAGGGGACTCCGAATGACTGAATCTCCATTACGATCGCCTCTCGATGTAGAAATCCTCACTTCTCTAATCTCCTAATCACTCCGTGCCTAATCTTTTCGTCGGAATATCCCACTCTCCTAATCTACCACATTGCGAAGCATGAACGTGGAGGAGCGCCGTGTTCGACTTTACTAGTTATGAGATTAAACGATGACAGATGGTAGTGAAATGAGTAAATATGTATGTTCCAAAGACACGAGGATCAAGATATGAGGAGATTACGAGATGACAAGATTTCGCTGGAAAGCCTAAATTCTTTCTGCCGGAGCGTAATGATTTTACGGGCAAGGATCCTCAAATTAAGGTCATTTGTTCAGTCTGTTTGCAATTCTGTTGTTGAGGTTGTTTGCATTTCTTGCACACGAGGCACTCGTGACACTAGGAAAAATTTTATTCAATAAAATTCGGAGGGTCGTGTAGGTTTTGCGACAAAATTCGTTTTTTTGCAAGCAAGCTTGCATCCAAGATCGACCGTTTCATTGCCGGGTTTGCGAACTGTTTTCATAAAAAGGAAGAGTATCGAGCACTCTCCTCGCGAATCATCACGTTTCTTCTTCACAAGCGCTTTTGCTATATGGAAGCATTAGGATTTTTTCGACAGTGTGCTTTTGGAAGGGTGTTCCTGAGAATTCAGAACGCCAACAAAGGTGGCTTTGGCTTAGCTATGAATAGTTTTGATTTGATGTAAGCCGTTATGGCCATTCTTCTGTTGTGCATTCTTCTTATTGTGGGAAAAGGTTTTTAACGGCGTCGAACCGCATATACGAATTAGCGATTGGCTGCCTTCGTTTGCATAGATCGCTATGGAAACCATTCTTACCGTAGTTCAAATTTCAATATGTTTGTCTTACGAGCGCAGAGAGTGTTCATGCGATCATTTGTGTCACGGATGAATTGTTGAAAAATTAAGCGCGAGGGGAAATACCTCTATTTTAACATCCGCTAGAGGAAATTGGAGTTTTCATTAGTACATTGAAGATATCATTAATAGTTGTTACGGTGTGATAAAGAATTAATACAAATATTTACAAAGGAAATTGAGCATGCGCAAAGAAAATAGGTGAAACGGGTGCAAGGCGCATGCTCAGCGCATAGCCCTATGTGCCTTAAAAGTGCGAGGTGTATGGGCATCGCGCTGTTGTCATTGTGTTTTGCCTACACAGTACCGAACGGTCACACAAGCAAAAAGTGGGCGGACAATAGGAAGCAGAAATCCTCTGAAAAATTCCATGACAAGAAGTCTGCATTATGCACCAACCGGTTCAGTTGAGATTTGATCAATGTGGCGTTGCTTTGAGACCAAGAAACGATTAGGGAAAGTGAACAATAGTATTTCGAGAGAGAAGTCTAGGCGTCTACACAATCAATCACTCACAGCTCAGATCTCTCAGTTTTGCAGTTTTTCTCTTTGCCTTGATATGGTGGAACTTTACGTGGTAATTTCATTCGTAGCGAGGATCATTATGAAACACAGAGCGAAAAGAAATAGGTTCTAGGAACTGTATAGATGAAGTGTGAAACTGAGACAATATTTTGCTTGAAACCTGCCTTTCTCTCACGCGAGACGCAGAGAAAGGAAAAAGGCAATCATGAAAAGCATCGGATCTAAAAATACCATCTTTATGCTTCGAAGCAAACACATTTTTATGTATGCAGTAGTAACAGTATGCTCAAGAATTTTCGTAAGCAAACGGTGGCAATCACGTAGTAATTCACTGCTTCCCGAAATAAGTCGGCTTGCGTAGTTGATTGCATGAAAACACGCGTGGAAGATGTGGTCGAGATCGATGGGTAGCTCTCTGCTCTCGGCCAAAGGGCGGGTTAGCTCCTAGCTGACCGCTTTTTGTCCTCACATTTGTTCGCACGCTTAGACTCATATGTTATCCACCAAGAAAAGCATGTGGTATTGAAAGACGAGACATTTATTTCCATCAGTAGCAAAGTACATGTGAACTTTCAAGGGGTGAGACTTGAAATGTGCTGTGCATGCTTAGTCATTTCCAAGTCTAATATAAAAGTTCTGTTATTTTCTGATTGTTCTATGTCAGCTATGTTAATGTGATGAAAAAACTCGAAGTTCGCAAATCATTCACTTCTAGTATGCGCAGCTTTACACCTGTAATCCGCCTCTTCTTATATTCGTGATGGGCTACCGCGTGTGAGTGTTGAAATTTCTATTTCACAAACACATTGGCATAGAACAATTGTAGGATTTTGGCATTGTTTTCGATGCAAAATTGTGTTTTTAATTGTACTGATAATTTTCAGGATATCTGTCGAAATCTATTCACTCATACCTCCTATCCCTAACAGCATTTTTTCAGCTCGTATCAGCTTTAATTGACAATGTTTATGAGGAAGTTGATGGAGGAAGAATACAATGAAATTGTGAGAAAGCGACAGGCAGCTGATTTCGTTGTTGATGATGGTATGTGGAAACAGTAAATATGAGATTATATGTGGAATTTTAGCTGTAGTTAACTGAACACTGAAAATCTTAGGTGTTGAGGGATATTTTGCGATTTACACGTGCGCTGCCCGTTCAAAGGACAGGTAATCGTCGGGTTGTGGTCAGGTATATGGGGTCAGGGTTTTGCGAGCGGTCTGGTTCGACTCGTCCGTCTTTGAACAGGATATAAGGTGAGGACTGTAGTAAGTGCTAGGTAGGTGGCAATTGTGAATTTCACTGAAGCACCAACCCAGTCCTCGCATGTAAAATTGTGAGCTCCTCCTCTGCCAAGTATTTTCTCAATAGTGTGTAATTTTCGACCGTCAAGTGGAGATCATACGAAATCCATATCAGCCGTAAAAATTCTCAGTTTAGGGATGAGACTTCCTTGAGCTTCATGCCGCATGAGCAATTTTTTTCCTTCAAAATCTTACAGTGGAACAATCTTGCGGTTTCCAGATGGCAGCGGCTACGTAGATCACGGTGCAGACATCTTCGATGATGAAGAGGATTATTACGATGAAGAAGAAGTTGACAAAAAGAGTAAGAAAAAGAAAAAGGACAAGAAAGGTGATCCGTTATTTCAGTGATGCCGTACAGCGAAGGAGTGATGTCGTCCAGCGAAGATCGGATGATCTTTGTTGCCTCTCATAGTTTACATTCCTTGTTTTATGATTTTAAGTTAGGTCGCGGTCAAAAATCCTATTATTCGAAGAGAGCTTAGTTTCCGAGGGCCCCTCAGATTGACGGCCCGCTTTCCAATATTTGTAGGCATATGAAAATTCTATGTTTCCATCTGATATGCTATGATACTGAACTAAGTAGTTTTCAAAAATAGCTCAACAAGAAGAATCAATTTTTTTCAGATCAAACAACGAAGAAAGGTCTAGACAGTTATTTTGCACCGGCAACACATGTTCGAGGAAAAGTGAAAGACGACGTAAGCGATGAATAAGCATATTGTCAGCGTTTGTTTCTGGACGTCTATTCTTATTTGAAATTCCACGCATCCATTGAAAGAACGATCAATTCAGATATCCCGAATAATTCAAATTGAAGGAATCTTTTTGTAATTAAGGCTGAAGTCAAACTTGAAGATGACGAAGACCTGAAGAGCATGCTAGCAGGTCTCAATGACGAAGCTCTGGAGATGGATTTCTGCTCGGAACCGTCCCCTACTCCGAGCAATTCATCGCGAAATCCTTTCAAAAGAGAGGGTGAGAATGCTTTTTAATGATTTTACTTCTCGTTTTTGTTATAATTCATTAGATGAACCTCACCGCACTTTTTTACACGAGAACGAGTTAAAAGTGGGATCGAAAATCCTTTTAGATTATCAAATTATGTATTTAGCCTCTCCAACAATTGCCCCACGCAAAGTGAAAGTGATGAAGCTGGCGACGCCTACACAGCGAAGCGCCCCCATTCGCCGTCCTCAAGATGATCCGCAAAAGTACGTGAAGGCTGAAGTGCAAATGGTGAGAAACATGCTCCAAATTTGTGCACCATTTCGGGTAAAAAAAATTGCTTTTAACTCAACCCCAGCAGCACATTAAAGCTGAGTTTTTAATGACTTGTCTTGTTCCTGTTAAAAGTGAATTCAATAGCGTGTGAATTGTTTGACAAGGGTAAGTGAGGAGCCATGGGCTTACTGTAAGTCATAACATCTGACTTTGTTTGACTCGATTGTTTGACTTTTTTTGAAATAGAATGAACAAGGGCGATCAACGATAGTTCTTATCTGTGTAATTGTCGGCCTTGCTTTGCTTTGAATTGACTAACACATTGCTCTGCAGTGAAAGTGTCCCGTTTCATTAGGTGAAATGCCGTATACGTCAAATTAATATTAATTAATTATTCGTGTATCGAATGTATCTGTTCTTTCTTATAAGTTAATCAACGTATATGTGACTACTTGAAGTCATTATCAATAGGAAGAAGACGATGACTACGGTGCACCAGATTTCGACGATTTCGATGAGCCTGCACCTCCCAAAGCTCCTCCACCAACACCTGCTGTTCCGAACGCCACCACTTCGGCTAAAAAGCACATCGAAAAGAAGATTGAAAACGATGTAAGAATTTTCTCTTTTTTGCTTGGACCTAGTCATAAGGCTCCGCATTTCCACTTTTGAAGGAAGTGATGGATCATCGGGAAGAAATTAAAGTCCAAGAGATTAAACCTCACACAAAGATGGCCCCGCAAATGATGACTTCTGCTGACTGGGAAGATGGTCAAGCGACGTAAGTTTAGATAGGATGGGATTGGTTTTAATGAGAGGTGTTGCTAAGGTATGTGATATATTTAAAAACACTTGTTTTAGTTTGGATGAACCTAGTGTCGACGTTGTAGCCGGTTCCGAAGCATTCTATGTGAAGGAGGACGGCCAGCAAATGATTAGAATGTATTGGTTAGACGCGTATGAAGATCCAGTGAAGCATAGCGGTATATGACTTTTACTGACAGTCTTAAGTTGGTCAGTTCCTCATCTTGAAGTGTTTCCAGGGAACAGTCTACCTATTTGGCCGTGTTAATGTTAGCGGAAGCAAATGGGCTAGCTGTTGTGTTACCGTGAAAAATATTTTCCGTCAAGTGTTCTTCTTACCAAGAGGGACGGTGAGTACGAATTTTCCCACCAAACTGGATGGAGGAGGCTGTACTGTTGTAGACGTTTCTTCATAATTGGTCCGGATTCAGATTGAATCTCAGGGTTTTTCAGATGAGGAGAAGAAGCATTGTTGTATAAATTTGAAAATTTTGATTAACTCTGTTTCAGTTTTTTTTTTATCTTCAGAATACTTTTCCGCGAAGAAGTACAAATGAGCCTGTGAATGACGAGGACGTGTTTGAGGAAGTAAAGGCTGTTATGAAAAGACATTGTGGCACATCTTCCTTCAAGTGCAAGGTTGGTTCATTTGGCTGTTATCTTATGGTTTATTGGCTGCTTGGCAGCTATTTCTTTTTTCTTTTCTTTTCGTTGTTTTTCCTTTGTCTCATTGTCAGCAGCGATTACTTGAGGGTCAGTTAGCCATAGCTACCAATAATATTTATTTACATGTTGCTAATACTTGTACTTTTGATTTGTCCTGTTTTTTGGCTACAAAACAATTTATAGCAAACGAAGAAGAGGTTTATGAATGACGGAACTATAGCAGGAGAGTATTCTGGAGAGGAAATAAAAGTCATTGAGGTCCAGTATGAGGTATGGTGCTTATAATATTTCAATTTCATTCCCTGATTGGTCAGAAGTTCTTTTTTCAGAGCAATTTATAATCTTCTATTATGCTTCTTTGAGTGATCTCTGCTGGAGATGACATTTCTCTGCCGTGTTTAATCAACAATCGGCGCCAGCAGGAAAGGCTTGGTGGAAAAAAGCATGAGTGGTCCAGGATGGGTCGACTAGGACAATTACTGATGGTATGGATTATCTGAATTGTTATTCTCCCTATACCAAACACATTAGCTATTGCTTGTTTCACTTTCTTGACTTTTCATTTATTCACTTTCTTGAAGGTCTTGTGTCCATAAATTTTAATGTTTTGTTTTACAGTGGAAGTGACAGCGAAATTGTCCTATTGTGACTATGAGTTCAGCGTGGACATGGAGCGCATGCGAAATCTAACCTTCAACACTTCAATATCTCTTCCCGCTCCTCCGGTTCGAATGCTCATATTGAGCATGATTACAACGTTGAATGAGAAGAAGGAGAATGAGGTATTGGATTTAAAGGTCTTCTCTATTCCGTTCTGTCATCTGCTGTACGCACATTTAAACACACGTCAGCTCTAAGTCACTGTTGTTATTTTTTTTTGAGAATTTAGCCAATCCATGTCTAGTTTAGGAGAGAGGAACTTGTTCTTGATCCATGAGTACGCTCTGGATTGAAAATTATAGGGGAATGGTTGACTCAGATAGGTTTTGGGGGGATCGCCTCGCGTTATAGCTCAACAGTGTCGTGGTTGAAGGATAATGAATCAAGGACATCAAGTTTACAGCTACCCTGTTTGTGTAATAACATACTCGAAGCAGTGGACCTCATTAACTTCAGTCATGCACTCGGTATTATGCATGATATCAACACTATACAATCCGTCGTGCAGTTTGAGTAGTCCGAGCACCGATCAAAAGGATCTCCAACGGTTATGCAGTAAGTTTTCATGTAGCGTTTTTGTTCCACTTTAGAAATCCAAAGCATTATCTGTATCTTAGTATTTACTTGTTTTCAGTGTTTACGAAACCGTATGGCAGCGTGCTACCGTTCGATATAAAAGATCAGCTGGCCAGGCGTGGCTTATCGGACATTGTGCAGACAGCTGGAAACGAGAAAGCTCTGTTATCCTTATTCCTCTCCAAGATACAAAAGTATGAGCCGGATGTCATCGTGGTAAGATCGTATTCTTTTAATTCTCGGTATAGCAAGCTAACCTTCGGTAGTAATGAACATAATCTCTAACTTTAAAAATTAGAAACCGTGAGTGCTCAATCTTCTTACACTACTTTTGGATCACTTTTTGCACTCAGGGACACGACCTTTCGGCTACAGTTGCTTTGCTGGTATCTCGAATGGACAAGCTCAAAGTGGCGAACTGGTCGAGAACGAGTCGTTTGAAGCGAACCGTAAATGTAGGGAAAGTGGCTCATAACAAGGCAGGCCAATGGGAACTGACTGCTGGAAGACTGTTGGTGGATTCGAGGTGAATGCCTTACTCAAACTTACCATCGCGGCCTGAAAACCTTTACCCTTTGAAACATCGCCATTTCTTTAAGGCTTTCTGCTATGGAACTTGTGCGATCCCGTAGCTACGACCTCTCTGAGCTTGTCTCGCAGTTACTGGGAGCTCAAAGAGAGAACATTTATGCAAATGAAGTTAGCACCAAGTTCAGGTGTGGTTACGCTTAATCGAAGATCGTAGTGCCATCATCTCGTGGTTTTGAAATTTCAAATTTACTCGTTTAGTTCTTCGCAACAGCTACTCAACCTTATTCAATGGAGTTGGATGGATCCGTGGTTCTCCCTGCGAGTAATTGCACAGCTTAATGCTCTTCCACTGGCCATTCAGATTACAAACATAGTTGGCGGCGTTGTCGTAAGTTATTTTCTGACATGTTTACTTTTCGTAAACATATTTGCGACCGTTATTCATCACATTTTATTTGCCTTTCGAATATTTATTTCAAACTCTTTTGGGAGATACTTTGTGGTACTTATTTTACTTTTCAGTCGCGCACGCTGATGGGAGGACGAGCAGAGCGGAATGAGTTTTTGTTATTGCATGCTTTCAATAAAGCCAACTATATAGCACCAAATAAGTACACATCAAACTTTAGAAGAGGTCATTATGATTAGATCAGCATTCCTACACTCACTGTTCAGCATGCCTCATGAAAAGTTTCTCTCACTTGTTCAGGAAAACAAGAGAAAGAACCGGTCGCAGAAGATGAACCTAACAATGAAGAACCTGACAAGGATGATAAGGAAGGGAAATCGAAGAATAAAGCACAGTATTCCGGTGGTTTGGTGCTGGAACGAAGAGTGAGTTTCTCAATCTTAATCGCTGTGAATTCAAGTTTTTTTTTTCGAGTTTTAGTGCTAAGTGGTGCGAGCCGGCCGAGGCGCTCCTCCAAGGGCGACCATCATTATGTTTTGTTGCTGCGTTGGCAGTGTTGTCCGGAATACGCGCCAGTCGGCGCGACTAAGCCTTGGAGGAGCAGAGGGAACGGACGGCCGCGCCGCCCGCGTTGATCTTCCCCCCCCCATCCCACTCAGCCGCCGAAAATTTTTTTGACCGTTCATCTGATATTGCCCGCTTTCTCTTAAGTCATACTTTGAAATCGTTAAACTTATCGAGTTAGGAATAGATCGATATGCATCTACTCCACACTCGAAATGTAAGCGAGGTCTTGTTGCAAAGTATGACCGTATCTCTGGAGGCAACAGTAGTACCTTTTTTTGAGGTCGGAAGCTTTAGAAAATGATTTTAGGAAAGATTTGTGTTTAGAAAATGGTTTTTAGAAAAAGCATCATGATATCTGTTGACTCGATTTGAAATAATTGTTCTCAGCCCAAACTGGATGCGCCTTTGATGAGTAAAGCTGCCGAAATTTCTTCAGTTTCATGCCTCCTGGAAATGTTCTGTTTTAGGCCTCTACGACACCCTCATACTTTACTCGATTTCAATTCTTTATATCCAAGTATCATCCAGGAGTTTAATATTTGCTTCACTACTGTCCCTCATGTCAAGGTGAGCTTTTGAAGAGTATTCTGAACATGTGATAAGCAACTACATAATGATTATGGTTATGTTAGCACTTCATAAACAAATTTGTTCATAATTCCATCGTTAAAAGAGAAGCATCGTTAGGAGAACAACATGTAACATCAGCGATTTGAGTAGCTCCTAAGTCAAACGGTAGATATTGATTTGGAATTGAAGTCATACACTACGTGCAGAAAGCTACGCTCTCATATGTAGACCTCGTAATAACTTCGTATAGCATACATTATACGAAGCATTTTAGGATGGCCGATGAACTGCCTGAAGTCCCATCATCGGGCCTACAAGAAGGTATTTTACCGCGTGAGATTCGAGGTCTTGTTGAAAGGAGAAGGCAAGTGAAAAAGCTCATGAAGGAGGAAGCATTGGAGGCGAAACGAAAGCAGGTTGGGAGTTGATGAATATTTCGGAGAGGAGCGTTTAAAATAGCGAATTCAAATTAAGTACGACATCCGTCAAATGGCTTTGAAATTGACTGCGAACAGTATGTATGGTTGTCTGGGTTTTCAACAGTCTCGTTTCTATGCGAAACCTCTTGCAGCACTCATTACGTCGAAAGGTCGAGAGGTTTGTGCGATTTCTCCTCATCTAGGCAATGTAGTGATTTGTGTCATTCTCGAGACTTCTTATGCACACGAAGGATCTCGTCGAGAAGCTCGGATACTCTGTTGTCTACGGTGATACGGATTCTATCATGATTAACACCAATAGCACCGACTTGAAGCAAGCCAAGAAACTGGGCTTTGAGGTTAGGAGTTCTTCCTTGTTGTCTTTTTTTATTGTTTGTGTGTTTTTCTCGAGAAATGTGTGAGAGATTCCCTTCTGAGAATCCTTTCGCTTGTTTTCTCATCTTTTGTTCCCCTCCTCTCCTCCCTATCGGCAATAAGTGAGGGCTCAGTGAAAGTTTACAAGCGCGCGTTTCGTGACTGTCATTTTCTGGATCATCTGGCGTGTTAAGCAGACGTAGGAGTCAATCGTTTTGGCGGGTACGCATCTAAAACGCGATTAGGGAGGAAACGTTTACATTTGTGTATTCAAGGGTTGTGCCTGTATTGTTGTATAGCGTAACAACTAACCTCTACTCTCTTGATTAGAGGCAGCATGTCATCTTCGACCTGCAAGTATCGGTGCGTTGCCGCCCTGAAAACGGCTCCGCTCCCGACTCTGGACACCTAATGAATCGCAGTTTTCGAAGTCGTGTTACGGAGCTGATTACCGCGAAGCACAAGAGTACAGTAATATTGTTTTAGTCCTATGTATATGTCACAAACTGTTGCGGCATACGAGTTAGCATGGCGTAGTGCATTCACCCTTTTGATTTCCTCTTCATGATATCATTTTGATCTCCTTTTTTTTCAGATTAAACGCCAAGTTAATCAGTGCCATCGTCTGTTGGAACTTGAACTTGATGGCGTCTTTAAGCGTATGTTGCTTTTAAAGAAGAAGAAGTATGCTGCATTGACCGTGAATCCGGACAACGAACTCGACACGAAGAAAGAATTGAAGGGTCTGGATATTGTGCGACGAGATTGGTCCCAATTGGCAAAGGAGGCTGGAAAGTGAGACGTTCATCGTACCCTGCTTTTTTGTATCTTAATAGCTCTGTTTTAGCGCTATAGTGGATCTTAATCCTTGATCCAAGACTTTCACGGGACGAGCTGGTTGCAGAGATTCATGAATCACTGCACACGGCTTCGAGCTAGGCTGGATGAAGGAGTTGATACAAAGCTTTTCGAAATAAGCAAGGTAAATAAGAAGATAGGCGACACAAATTATATGTCGTCGTATTCCGAGTAAGCTACCTCTGCCACTTTTAGCAACTCACTCGCAATCCGAAGGACTATCACGATTTGAAGTCACAGCCCCATGCTGCGGTGGCAGCGAGGTTAAACGAGACTGGCAAATTTTCGCTCCGGCATGGAGACATCGTTGAATACATTATATGTGAAGTGAGTATGAAGATTCTCTCCTTCTAGAGTGCATTTAGTTGAAAGGAATATTCTCGTAGAAAATTGTTATGGAATTGTATTAGATAAGAAATTAGTTGATCTTTCTTCAAACACATTCATAGCGATAGTTTTGGAATTTTGGTTTGTTTATGTTTTTTTTTCGTGGATTTTTATCAGTAATTTCAAGGATGGCACCAACAACTCGGCCATGCAAAGAGCGTATCATAGAACGGAATTGGAGTCGAATCCCGAGTTGAAAATTGGTAAGTTTTTATAGGAAAATCGGCAATCGATACCCAGTAAGATGAGGCTGGAGTCAGATAACTTCTGCATCTGAAACGAATAAGTCGTAATTATTGCAGATTTGCACTACTATCTTGCCCAACAGGTCCATCCGGTTGTGTCAAGGTTGTGTGCTCCCATCGAAGAAACAGATGCCGTGCGGCTTGCGGAGGCCTTGGGCAAGTTTAGACTACTTGAATTCTTTGCTCCAGTTGCGCAGCACACCCAGTGTGAATTTATATTTCTAGAGTGATATTGTGATTATTCTCTAGGGATGGACGCGTCGTCATATCGTCGCTCGGCGGCTGCTCGTGCATCAGATACCGCTGCGGTTGAAGACGAACTGGCATGGAATGGCCTAGTCACATACGACCACTGCGAATCGCTGTCGTTCGTGTGTCCAGGACCAGGCTGTGAAAACATCATCAACATTAGGAGAGCCGTTGAAAACCATGTGAGTGCTTCGTGATTTCACCGACATTTGGAAAGTACTGCATGCTCTGGGCAATCTTTGTGTTTTCTTCTCTTTGGTGGTCTTGAAGCAACACTCCCAGATAGAATTTTCGGTGTTGATAAAAGACAACCGTGGATGAACTTCGAAAACAGACTCCTTAAAGGGGAGGAACAGGGCAAGACGAATTGTGTTGCGGT